AGTCAGGGAAAACGAATTTATGTAGGAAACGGGGCATTTGGAGTATGTAACTCTAGAATTGATACAAATGGCAATGTAATAGTCTATCTACAGATAGTGATTTAAGCGACTGACTTACCTGACCATCTCTGTAAGCACCCTGTAATCCCACAGAGATCGTGGATCTAACTCTCGAAGGGAAGAAACCATTGAAAATCCTTTTTGGCTTGTGCATGGGACGAATTTCTTGGTATGATTTTAAGGTGTTAAAATCGATGATACTAGGGCAGCTAAACTGTCTTTTATTTCCCGAAATCTTGCGTTCAGCCGCTAGTTTCCTTAAGTCTATTCGGTCACCGTTTTGTATTTGTCTGTTGGCAAGCGTACCCTTTGTATTGAACGCGCTCGATGAAGTTGGGTAGAAACCTTTCCGGTCCGAAGCAAATATCTTGTCTTCAAGGCTTGGAAAGACTATGATTTTCAACGATGTGACAGGATCCATGCTCAGCAGAAATACACTTTCTCTCGTCGTCAAAATGTTTCTCACTTGGAGACACAGTCTCCCACATTGCACAAAAACAAGGTCCTTATGATCGGATGCGAGGCAGACGATTATGAGCTTCAAAGAAGCCACTTGGCATAATGTCTGTTATGCAAAAGCTTATTGAAAGGTGGATTTGAATAAACTACCCATCTGTCTATAAAAGTAAGACCGATGACCAATTAAATGACAACAAGATTATTCCCTTGTGGTTAAAATGATTATCTAAAGAGCCTGGCACACGGTTTATTACTGAAGAAATGAAACAAAAAAACCTATGATGTCATAATCGCGCCCACCAGTCTTTCAACCTCACACAATCAATTTAAGTCTGCGTTTTTCCAAGCTATCACTCGCCTGTTATATATATGAAAGAAAACTCCATAGCGGTGAAACCTAAACCGTAAAAGATCGCTCTTTACGTCCGAGTTCGTTAATTTAAGTGTTATTTGTCCACATAACGCGAATAAACACTATGGTAATGATATATACATGACTCCACTTTGCTTTTGTGTGCCGGGATTAGAGAATTAGGACATCAGTGAAAGTTATGCAGATTTTTTCTTTACTGTTGCCGGCTTTTTTCTTAATAAAGATTTGTTTTACTTTCTATTTTTCAACGATCTTGATTCATTTGGAAAGAGTTCCGTTCTTAAATGTAATACGTATCTCGGGAAAAATCATGTTGGCTTCAGTTACATTTTAATCTACTTCTTAGAAAGGGTCTCCTGGATATAGTAACTTTTTATATTGTTATAACAGTAAACATAGTGACTTGTTAATGAAGTATTAATTTGCAAATAACTTTGGTGACCTTAAGTTATTTTGAAAGATCGATGGTCTGTCGCTTAGATATTACTCGCGTCGATTATTTCATTCTTCAGAGTTCAGCGATCTCGCACTGAATTACTTTTTGGTTTTCAGGCACCACTAGGAATCGCTAATACATGCTATGGTCACTCACGCTCAAATTAGATCAATCTTTTCTTGTACAATATTAGTAAACAACACTTTTCGTAAAGACTACTTGTAAATAACACTACCGTTCTCTCTTTTCAAATATTGTACCGTAACAGTTGTCAGTTTAAAAAATTGCAACAGGAATTACATCCAAAAATTACAAAAATAACTGTTTTCAGAACTTGGATATTCAATACCCTACGTTTTTAAGGAGTTTTTAACTTGAGAAAATAGAAATTCACTGTTAATTGGTGTGTAGTTTTTGTTTTGTTGAATGGTTTATTTTTAAGGCGTGAAAAAGGCTCTCTCTCTCTCTCCCCCTCAAACAGCTCTAAGATCTAGACTTTTTCGTTTCGTTGATTTTGCTTATACGTGTCGTTTCAGTCGAATGATCGGCGCCTGTTCATGTATCAGATAATCAGTCCGGACTTAACGATGCTTTTTGTTTGGCACAAAACAACAAACAAACATAAATCAAGTCTCGTACAATATTTAATCCTTCAGTGAAAAACAAAACAATAACCAACCGTAAAAAGAATTCGTCTACTGGCTAATTAACTGACCTTCCATAAATTTTCTACTTACAGTAAAGTTAGTACTAATAATTTAACTGGAGTTCATAAAAAACGACTGTCTTGTTACTGTCATGTCGAATGTCTGAATGCCATGATCTTTCACACAGTTTACTTAGAAGTCAAGTAAATGTATTCTCTGATGTCTGTATGCGCTATAAATGTGTTGTAAAGGCTTCTGAGCAAAAATCTACGGTCACACCTCTGTGAAGTGCCAAATCAGCTTAATTAACGCTCGCGGGCTGAAATTAAAAGGTGTTAATCGATGGGATTTTTACAGTTTAATTAAAAGCCCTTCATATTCTATACCGTGGGTCATGCAAGACGATTCAAACTCTTTCAAGACTCCTAATCGGCAGTACTTGCCAGAAACGCTGCTTATTGTACTGCGCAAGGTTGCTAAAATTGTAAGTCAGTTCGTAATGCCCAAGTCATGGGCGGTATTGAGAATTGATACCCTGACAAGGAGGATAATCATGCCCATGGACCTATGGTTCTAAGGGGCGCATTTGATCAAAGGCCGACTATCGCTAACCCGGGGCGTTAAATTTAATACAGGTTCCTGTTTCTCTTGAGATAGGTAGAGAGTAGCGTAGGTAAAGATTGTATATTTAGGTTGTTGCGGTATA